TTCTAAAAATCTTATTTTAATTCTCATCAAATAGATGCTTAAGTTTGCTAATTTTTCAAAGATCAAGGGCACAAACCGAACAAAACATGGTTTGGGAGTAGGTTTGCTACTTTGCTTAAAAGTTGGGACTAAAATTAGTTTCATGTGGTGCGTGTTGGGAAAGTGATTAGATAAATATTTGATAATTATAGTGGTGATATCTATATAATATATGGACAATAAATGAACGATGCATATGAATATTATGACATACAAAAATAAAAACATAAATTTAATCCACTTAAATTATAAGAGCACTGCTACATTAACAGGGTCACAGACACCTTGTCAATAGGAGGACATGTATCCCCTTGAAAAAACAAGGCCCATGTGGCCTTGTTTGAGAAGAGTTATACAAGTTATAATTCAATCACTTGTGCAAAATTTGTAAAAAGTGACATTTTTCAAAATGTGCTTATCACATCAGATGGAAATTCATTTCCAACTTTGATCATTCATTATTTGGCGCACAATACCATGGAACTCCGAAGTCCAAAGTAGTCAACGAAGTTGGAAATTATCATAAATGAATATCAATTCTTTCAACAGTGCATTTCAAATTTTCAGTAAAGCCTAAAGTAGTGATTTGAAGGTTTTTGTAATTTACTAATAAATTAGGAGTAAAAGAACAATGGATCTTGATAAAATGGTTATGACATGGGAGAGAAAAGAGGAGTGCGTCTGTGTAGGGGTGGTGGTGGTCATCTGATACTTTAGGTTTGTGACAACCTAAAGTATTTTGACAAATGATGAAGCGTTTTCTTACCATGGGCTCGTAATGTGCAATTCAAGTCATTTTTCCTCTATATAAAATTAAAAACAAATACCAAATTTGCAAAAACCAAAGTTTAAATTCATCACTTTTAATATAGTGTTACATAGTCTAAAATCAAACACACACCTATATTTAACATAGAAGATTTCGAAGAATAAAAGTCACATGATCGAGTTAGGAACTTTTCAATGGTAAGTTAGAATAAAAGAAAAGAAAAAATAGTAAAACAGTGTAGGAATTTGTCAAGAAAATGTCTTTCCAAATGAATCTTTTGGAGCTCTACATTTTTTAGATATTTCATTTTAAACTAATTTCACTAAGATTGATCAATTTAATCCCAAATAATTTAAAATATTACAATATTCTAACATAACTCTGCCAAACACAAAACAATATAGATATATAAAGATTTTTTGTCACGTACTCATATTGTAGCATTCAAGTTATTTCGCAACATCCTTTAAAGAAAGGAGAATTTTTTTTTTTTTTTTGAAGTGATTGTGCTAAATAATAAGAAACAATAAGTGGATATTAGATATTAAATTGTAACGGACATTAAAATTGATAATATTTTAAAGGATGAAAGTTAAATAATGCAGGTAAAAGATCACTAAGCAATGGGGGTGATAGAAATAAGAAACAGAAATTTCTATTAAGCAACAGAAATAAGCACCATTGCAGTTTGAAATCTATCTTAATTTGAACTATATCAATATGATACTAAACTAACAAGGTAGTTGATTAGTTTCTTAAGGGAAATTGGCACAAAACGTCCCTACCTTTCAAGTGTATTGTGGAAAACATCCCTACCTTTCATTTTTTGGCACAAAACGTCCCTACCTTCCACTTTCTTGGAGCTGAACGTCTTTTTCATCAATTTTTGACGATTTTACCCTCCATTCAAATAAAACAAAAAGAAAAGAAAGGAAAAAAAACAAAAAACTAATTGCAACCACATTCCCAAATTTTCTAAAAATTGCAAATGGTAACTTGATAATTACCGTATTAAATAAATTGAAAAAAAATAAAAAACTTCAGAAAAAAATTTAAAAAATGGGTTGTCTTCTTCACCCTACCCTACTATTCATCTTCTTCTTTGTAAGAAAAAAAATTAAGAAAGAGAGACAGAGAGAGACTTTCCCCCAAAATAATTATTTTGGTGCACAACAAATCCTCCAAATCCGAAGCCCCATTACATCTCTCTGCACTTCCCCTCTTTGTACAAGCTCCTTCATTTTCATATCCAGTATCAAACCCCATTGTGCAGAGAGATGTAATGGGGCTTCGAATTTGAAGGATTTGCTGTGCAGAGATATTTTGTATGGTGGGGTGGGGTGAATAGTAGTGTAGGGTGAAGAAGACAACCCATTTTTTTAAATTTTTTTCTTAATTTTTTGATTTTTTTTTCAATTTATTTAATATGGTAATTATCAAGTTACCATATGCAATTTTTAGAAATTTTGGGAATGTGGTTGTAATTAGTTTTTTGTTTTTTTTCCTTTCTTTTCTTTTTGTTTTATTTGAATGGAGGGTAAAATCGTCAAAAAATGATGAAAAGGACGTTCAGCGCCAAGAAAGTGGAAGGTAGAGACGTTTTGTGCCAAAAAATGAAAGGTAGGGATGTTTTTCACAATACACTTAAAAGGTAGGAACGTTTTGTGCTAATTACCCTTTTCTTAATTATTACATATCATTAGCATTAAGCTAGCGGTAATTAAACAACAGTATAGCATTTTTTATGCCCCGAAATATTAAGATTCGGCACATGTAATTGCTTGATTAAAATATATATGAATGAAAATAATTCGATAAATAAGCTAAAATTTAATGGACAAGGTCTTGAAATCGAAAATCGAGCTAATCTTTATCCAAAATCAAAAATAAACTTAAAAGAATGAAAGAAAGAAGACTTATTCACGAAAATTAAAATATTACCGGGGTTTGGATTGAAATCGACGATCAGAAATTAATTTGACTAGTTAGTGATTTTTTTTTTTTTTTCGATTATAAATTTATATGGAAGAAAGAAACTAAAATTTGTCTTTTTTGAATTTAAAAAATGGTTGGAACTAATATATCAATGTAAAATACGTTATCCACTAGCTTTTATAAATAAACGACGTCAAAATAAGAACTCATGATCTTTACTTACTTCGAAATCGTGTTGAACGAAAAACGTAATATATATTAATGACCTGTCTCACATGCCTTTTGTTTTTGAACCCTATAGAATGATTTTTGAAGTTACCTTAATTATTATTTGAAAATTAATCTTTAAAAGAGTTTCCTAATTTGAATGTACTTTTGGAGTAAGTCATATTAGACCAAAATTCTCTAAAAATTATTAAAAACCATACCTTCATCATCCGATAGTCTATGCACAGTTGCTGAAGTGCGGGCAGGGAATCAAAGAACTCAATGAAGTTATATTTTCTATGAATGATAGAATTGTAACACAGAGTAGTTAAGGATTTCTTAAAATAAACATATGCACGGAAACATTTCAATTTAACGAGTTTTAGCTTAGGAGCATCAATTGTTAAGTGGTGAAATCCACTCGGACATGCAACGCCAGTTGCTCCAGTTCTGGTGAGCTAGATATCAAACTTCCTAATACATCAGTATCAATGATGACATCAAGCAATTCCAGTGTAATCAGCCTATTTAAACCTTTGAAGCTTGGCAGAGGACTGATCGAACAAGTAGAAAGTTTCAAATGTTTCAATAGTGAACACATAAACAGTTAAGAAGGCAATTTGTACGCTTCATACTTGTTCATTTTCAAAGTGAATTCTTCAATACCTTTCTTCCATAAGATATATATCAAATGGTCAATTTCAGAACCACCTGTGAGTTTTGGAATAATGAGGCTCGACTTAGTTAGGATCCTTGGTGAAGTCAAAGAATCTGGTAAAGGATCCCTGCAAACTTCATTCTAGCCAATTCTTGGTTTCTCTCTGATTCTTGCCATAACGTATCATCAAATATCAGCTGTGGCAGTTTGACCCATTTATACCTCCATTGCTTTGACAAGACACATTAATATGATCGCTATGACATTATCAGGAAGATCACTTATCATATCAACAGGTTGGAATTGGTCAATCTTCATTCTGCTATGTAATTGGCGAACAAAATTCTGTAATAACTCACAATTAATGAAAATATCAAATTGCCTTAACTAACTTGCATGCATGCAGAAGATATTAACAAATTCAACATGAAGTTTACACAATTTTGTTCGCTTTATTTTAGTTTTTTACACCAATATTTTAATAGTTAAATTGGTCATATGACTAAGAAATTAGAGATAATATTCACAGTTGATATTTACATTTGCTTATGCTTGAAATATAATTTCGAAATTGCAATAGCAAAAAATTCAAGTGCTTATTCACACCAATCTTTAGTTTGTTGTTATTCTTAGTGGTGGACAAGGGTGGCCAACTGCTTAAGTGCATTCTTAGTAGTGGACAAGGGTGGCCAACTGCTCATTCTAATAAAGTATGAACAAACAATAAAATAAGCACCTCATATAGATTATTTCAAGTTTTATTGAATTGTATGCATATTATAATTAACTTTAATTGGCCTGTCAATGGCCTTGGACTTTCAAGGTATAATCCACTACAATATCTTATTAATCACAATGATTATAATTAACAATAAGCATTAAACATATCATTAGGCAATATTATATTTTCAAAAATTAGGAAAAGAGAAATGTGATGTTACATGTTAAAATTAATTTTTTTTTTTTAAAGTTAATTTTGATAAAAATTGATGCAATATGTGCTTAGAAAGTTATGAATATTATAAAATACGTGAACTAAATGAATTATTGATTTTCACTTTGATAAAAATCTAAATTTTAATTCTCATCCAACATACCTACTTACCCACATATGCTTCATATGAGCTGTGCAACACACTCTCCTTAATAATTAGTTAATTACTATTACAAACTGAATCCAAGAAAACATAGATGAAATCATAAATTCGCAGATTACACCATAAATCCTAAATCACAACATCAAGGCTTAGATCTTTCAATCGAAGGCTCAGACCACACCCATTTACCATCACAGAGGCACCGGGACTCAAAAACGAACCCTCACAACCCAACACACCAAGGTCACTTCACTGGACTCAAGAAATCAAACTGCCTACCTTCGATCGATCACTCACACAAAGGAAAATCACACAAGAACATGATTATCACAAAGATAATCAACCAGAAATCTCACAAAGAGAAGAAGGAAGGGTCACACAGACAAAGGAACTCGAAGGTTCCAAACGGCAGAGAGAAAGAGAAAAACAGAAAGTGACGATCCAAGAGCCAAACAGGGAGTAAGGAGGATATTTATAGTAAATATCATCAACCGTTGATCAGCGGGTCAATCCAACGGTCCAAGAGCGACTAATGGTGTGTGGGCTGGATATTGGGCTCGGTTAAGTGGGCCTTCTAGGTATATATTTAATGGACCAAGTAATAAATCCAATTTGGGCCTTTTCATCATTGCCTAACGTTGGACTGGATCAAATGGCATCACAGCCCAACAATTACTTTACAAGTCTTCTTTCTTCTTCCGTTTACATTTCATTCCCCTTTCTGGTTCAGAGCTACAACCTCCATTTCCATGACTTCTAAGCTATAAGCTAATCAAAATTTTTTGTTTTTTGCTTCAGTGATAGCGTCTATTATGCTTTAAACAAAAATTTAGAGGGTAGACAACGTTCGCTTTCACTATCTTTCTTTTTCCCTGCCATTCGAACATCCTCTCCTTTCCTTGCAATGGATATCTCGTCCACTGATCCGTTTACTACTCCTATAGATCTCCTTGAAATTGTGATCGACCAAATATCACGTGTCTCCTCCTCACATGGACATGTAATTAATAAGTTAATTGTTTTTCAAGGATTACTATACTGTACAGACTTCGAAGATATTGAAGAAATCAGAAACTATTTCGAACTGTTAGCGTCATTTGGGCAAGAGCTTATGGTGTTCTTTACAGTCCCTAACCAACAAATCTTTTCCAATTTAACTCCCACGCTCAATTCTAATGAAGTTGTCGTGGCCTTCATCAACTTTCTCCTCTTAATGGTAGAAGTCATCATACATTTTAAGGAAGATTCGATTGCTCGTGTAAAGGGTTCGTTCCAAAATCTCCGGACAGAGCTTGGATTTCTTATCAGTTTTCTTGGGGATACAGCAATGCATTTGCAGCCCACCAAGACTATGTTGATTGATATTGAAGACGTGGTCAATGAGGTAGGAAGTTTCTTGTATTTCTTACTTTTGTCCATTGTTGTATTCATTCTGATCAGTAAAGAAGAAGAAGAAGCCTGTACTAGAAAAATGGATTTGGAATTTGTGGTTAATGAGGTACAAAGTCTATTTCATTCCAACTTTTTCCACTTACCATTGCTCTCCACTATGGTGAAGGGAAGAAAGGGAAAAAAGGGAAGAAAGATAAGAAAAAAACAGAAAAAGGCAATGATGGATATCAAAGCTCTGCTCCATGAGATAGGAAGTTTATTAGGTTTCTTCTTCATTTTCACCAAGAATGATCAAGTTATGGAGACAGGAATGTTGGGTCTTGCTCTTTCTCATTTGTTAGCAAAGTTTGAGACCTTGAAAACAAAGATCAAGGAGCACTGCATCACAGTCTCAAAGATGCCAAGTGATATGGCTCCAAAGGCTGGAGTGGTTTCACTCTTTATTATTGATTCCGTCCTCGATGATCTCATGGATCTAACAAATAACAAGTCTAACTCGACTGTTGTTGTGAATGATCAAATTGTAATGCTCCATGAGGAGCTAATGTTATTGGGATCATCCATCACGGATATAGTATTGCAGCACGAAGCAAAACATGAAGAACTTGTGACACGGAGCAGAGACATAGCATATGAAGTTGAATATGTTATCAACTCATTTCCTCATGTTTGGTATCTTAGTCTTCGGCTTCCTCAACTCATTGACAAGATTCGGCTTATTGTGATGGCTGTCAAAGAAATGAAGAACAATATTGATGTAGCTAGAATGTCAAATGTTTCAAAACATCCACATGAACACATAGAGTCACAGTCAAAAGAACCTCCCATTTTGGAAGACATTGTTGTGGGATTTGACAATGTAGCAATTGAAATTGCAGAACAACTTGTTGGAGGAACATGCCAGCTGCAAGTTATTTCCATCTTTGGGATGTCTGGGCTTGGTAAGACGACCTTGGCAAATAAATTATATAAACATCCCTCCATTTTATACCATTTTTACAAGCGTGCCTGGTGTGCTGTTTCTCAAATATATAATAAGAAAAATTTGTTGATTGAAATTTTGAGCTCAATGAGTAACAGTAAGAGGGATACATACATGAAAAAGGAGGAAGAAAGCTTGGTTGAAGATCTTTACAAAAACTTAAAAGGAAGGCGATACCTCATTGTGGTAGATGATATATGGGATATCATTGTGTGGAGTGATTTGAAAAGATGTTTTCCAGATGACGGAATTGGAAGCAGAATCTTATTCACTACTCGAAATAAAGAAGTGAGTTTGAAAGCTTCACCTCGTAGTGTCATAAATGAACTTCCTTTTCTGTCGGAAGTTGAGTGTTGGGAAATATTACAAGGGAAAGTGTTCCAAGATAGAAAATGTCCTCAGGAATTGGTAGACATTGGCAAGCTAATTGCAAAAAACTGTCATGGCCTACCACTTGCAGTGGTCGTAATATCTGGAGTTCTTGCAAACATGGAGAAGAAAAAACACTTGTGGAAAAAAATTGCAAAAAATTTAAGTTCACATATATCTGAAATACCAGAGAAGTGCATCCAAACATTGCAACTTAGCTACAACCATCTACCAATGCATTTGAAACCATGTTTTCTTTACTTAGGAGCATTCAGAGAAGACACAAATATCCCTGTACGAAAGTTGATATCTCTCTGGGTTGCCGAAGGATTTATAAAGAAGGAAGAACATAAGAACATAGAGGACGTGGCACGAGAATATCTAATGAAACTAATTGATAGGAGCCTAGTACTCGTTGCTGAAAGAAGATATGATGGAGGAGTCAAAACATGCAAGATTCATGATCTATTGCGTGAAATGTGCTTGAGCATAGCTGAAGAAAATAACTTTTTGAAGTTGATCAAAGAGTAAGTTCAATGTTTCTCTTCTATTTCCTTTCCTTTCTGTCCATTTTTTTTTTTTTTTTTTTTTTTTTATTAAAAAAAAAAAAAAAAAACAAAAAATTGTCCATTTTTTTTTTTTTTTTTTTAGCTTACTAAGAATGGTTATTATATTTGATGATCGTAAACAATGATATGGTTATGTTGTTTTGTTACCAGTAATGATGATGATGAACAACGGTTGTTCAGTCAAGTATCAACGTATCAGCGGCACCATCGTCTGAGTATCAACTGTGCAAAATATCCTAGCTCGCTACCTGTTGGCCTACATGTACGCTCTCTTCTATTTGATTTGGATTTTATGAGCTCCATCAAATTAATCTCATGCAGCTACAAAGTTCTTAGGGTCTTTTGTGGATGGTCACTGTATGATTTTCTAATAGGATTTGAATATCTGGTTCACTTGAGGTACTTGGAAATTTCATGTACACTGCCACCAATGGAAAACTTCCGCAAATTAGAATTTCTTGTTGTGTACAATGATGATGAAATTGAAATACCTGAGATCCTTCTTAATATGGTGAGTTTGAGACACATGGAGTTTAACGGTGGTGCATACTTCAGTGAATCTAGCCGTCAGCTAGCAACTAACAGTAAGAGCTTCCAAATAAATAACCTACAAAGTATTTCTGCACTCTCAATTTATGATGAAATGGATGAGAAAATTTTGAGAAGTTCACCCAACCTTCGCAGAGTACAAGTTAGCATTGAGAATTTATTAAATTGTTCCTTCAACTTCCTTTATCAGCTCGAATCACTGAAGCTATCAACAGAATACAATACGCTTTATTGGCGTTCCAGTCTGATCAGTTTGCCCTTAAATCTAAAAAAATTAACTCTAGTTTGTGTATATCTGTCTCGAAAACAAATGGAGATAATTGCAAGATTGCCATGCCTTGAGGTTCTCAAATTAGTATCTGCTGCCTTTGAGGGAGAACAATGGGACACAAGTGAAAGTGAATTCCCTCAACTTAAATACTTGAAACTTTGTGGTGTAAAAATTGCAGAATGGAATGCCTCAAGTGATAATTTCCCAAGGCTTCAACGAATAGTATTGGAATATTGCGAGAATCTAAAGATGATCCCTTCTAATTTAGGTGATATTCCAACATTACAGAAGATTGAGTTATTTATGTGTGGTCAAACTGCAAATGAATCAGCTAAGAAAATTGAGGAAGAACAAAAGGAGATGGGGAATGAAAAGTTTGAAGTCACAATCTCTAACACATTCGATGATATTGAAGCCATTCTCTCACCCATTTCCCCGCAGGAGATGAAGGAATTCTACGGGAGCGAAATTCAGAAGGTACAAATGAAGGAGAATCTCTCCATTAATTCTCTTTCACGTTCTCATCTTAGTGTTGTTATACTAGAATGAAACATCAAATAAATTTTTGGCTAATATTGAAATTAATGGATTAAAATCATATTTTTAGTAGATTTTCATGAAGTTTGATAAAATGTGTGATTAAAAAGTTAATAAAAGTTACAAGTCTCATAAAATGTGTGATTGAAAATAAGTTTGGGAAAAAAATGAGTTACAAAAAATTGGGGCCAAACAGGAGCTAAGGTTGGCTCTACTCTATGAGCCTCTTAATGTCATTCTAAGAATTACTAGCCCATAAGGTTCTATGTTTTTGGCATTGATTCTCTATTATTTCAGCTTTTCATATTTTTCTACTATATAATCGTGTTTACATAAAATCACAATGATCACATTTTCACTTCTAGTTCAATTAAGTCCTCGAAAGAATTTGTTTATTTAGCCTAAGTCGCCCATTAATTGCATAGGCAGTCCTTCAATGTCCAAACTTGATACCTTAGTCCTTGATTCCAAATTCCATCTAACTTCCATCCATCTTGGTCAAATATCGCCCCTTTTTATTCTTTCTTGTTCAATACTGATTTTTTTCCTAAAATAATCAATAAACACACAGAATTAAGTTTTCTAGCTCATAGTGATCTTGCAAAAAAGCTGACTGTGTTGAAATAAAGGTGTACCCATTAGTTTACAAGCTTGTAACATTGGCGTTAATTCTTTCAGAAGTCCATTCTCGGTGATTGAGATTTTCAAGAATCGATTGCATAATTGGAAAGGAGATCAATGGTTGAGCGACACTTTGATGGCGTATATTGAGAACGATGCATTTGCCACTATTGATAATGATGTAATTATACTATGTTTTCAATGTATTAAAATTTGTATGCGGCAGTTATAGTAATGTATTGACTTATTTTCGTTAATATATTGTTTTTTTAGAAAAAAATTGTATCTTAATTTTTGATCCTACAATGAAAATTGTGTGGCTCCGCCAATGTTATTAGGCTTGATTAAAACAATTATCTTTGGTGGAAAAATCAACTTCTGAATGTTATAATGGCTAGTGGATTAGAGGGTTTTATTGATGGTACATATACTTTCCCCCCACAGTAAGCAGCACATATACTTTCCCCCCACAGTAAGCAGCATGGCAGAGGTTTAATAGGCTTGTAACGAGTTTGATTTACAACTCACTAAGGAATTATGGCTTCAGTAGTGAGTGGATTTGATTACTGCTGATGATATCTGGACTTCGGGTCGAAATTTTTATTAACTTTTCAGAATTATGACTTCAAGCTCTTAATTTCCAATCTCTTGTTGTTCTTAGTTCTTACAGAATTTGATTCACAAATTCTTAAGAATGCTTGCTCAGACCCTCTGCCAGAGAACTTTCCCGATCAATAATTTGGTCAGGAGTTCTTGTTTGTCCACCCACCATCACCATGTAGTCGGCCATTTTGCCCTGCACCAAAGAAGCATACGAATCAGTTCAAACTCCTTTACCCGAGCAGAGCTCTGTTTTGAGACTTTCGCTGAGGTTTCTCTGTTTTATTAGAATCCAAAATCCAGCATCCTTCCATATTTTCCTCGCATCTGGGAACCAAAATAAAGCACGTGCAACAGTGAAATCTCTAAGTGATTAACATAGGAGAAGCCATTGTAATTCTTCTTCAAATAAAGTCAAAAGATTGTTGGTTAAGGGATTCCTTCAAATATAATAGAAGAAGAGAGATGGCAGATTTTCATGTATATCAAATTGAAACAGAAATCTCTACATATGGATGTTAGTACGCCTTTCCAAAGCGTTACAAATCTATTCATGATTACAATCCTATAATGGTGGCTGCTGGGTTTATATAGTACACACAAAAGACGAGGGAAAAGAGAGGCTGGAAGAGAAGAAAATAAACGGCGGCTGCTGTAGAAGAAAGTTGACTGTGGGTGTGGATTTGACGCATGTTTTTTTTTTTTTTTTTTTTTTTTTTTTTTTTAATTTAGTACAAATTGTGAATTGCTCTAAACTATATTTTGGGTACTCCAAAGGTGTAGTATTTCACAAGTTCCATCAAAGTGATGGTTAGTGATGAGATTATTTCTTGTCCTTGGAGATTGATTATTGTGGTATTTTCCAATTTGTTGACAATTCAAATTTTGGGACATAAACTTAAATATTATAATCTATATTTATTGTAGTGGATTTGGCCAGAGTTGCCCCTTGGTTTTTTCATGTACACTGGAGGGTTTTTTCCACGTAAAATTTTGGTGTTGCTTTCTCTAGTTTTTTGCTTTGAGTATTTACTTTCATATTTAATCACTGTAGTTAATTGCTTGAATTGTTTAATTTATTCTTGCAATAAATGAAATTGTCCAACACCTTGGTCCTTCTCACTTTTCAGATTGCTGCATTTTTCAGTAATTGCTACTTGCTAAACGATAGGATAATCAATAATCTGTGAGTTTGTAATTCCTTTGTTAGCTAAACATCATTCCTAAATTCATGGACGTGCCGCCGTATAGCATTTTCTTTGTATATATTCAATAATACTAAATAAAAAGATTCAAGCTTCCCTTCTTAATTTCTGTTCGAATTTTTAATTTGCTATATATATGCATATATTTCCAGAAGCAGCTAAGTTAATACGAAACAAATAGAAAAAGAAAATTTTATTATTCAAAAATCTTTCACCCTATCTATCCTCAAAGTTCAAAACAGGAGGGGGTGTTTCTCCTTTTTCAGTATTATTATGCAATTGACTCTTCGTGTAAAGAGTTGATAGAACTGATTGACTCAAAAAGATAATATATATGGAGGTACCAACAATAAATGACAACGTCATTATAGTTGATGACGTAAAATAAGTATAACTTTACTGAAATAAATGACGGGCATCATTTTTTACCGCTATATCATCGACTTCCAAGTGACAGAATTAGACTAAGAGCATCTAAGCATCTGAATTCCTGAACCCACCATTCTTTCAAAAGATTTTTGATAGGTCAAGTTTGAATAAAGTTCATTTCTATTCATCAAATTAAACTACTAGCTCTATCACATTTATCGACCTTTAGTTCATTCTTATAGACATACTCCATAAGTATTAGTTAACATAGTAGGCCAAAATTGTAGATTACGTACTTGTCCATGTAAATTGATTTATCATATGATCTTTTAATTGTCCACCTCAACTCCTCCAGTAATTTGTCTTGAATGTCCAATATTTTAAAAGCATTAAAGCGTCCTTTGTGATATCCAAGTTCGAACAAGTAGCTATAGACATGTCTTCGATGTGATATTGAAGTATTAAGAAATAAAATTAAATTGCTTACAAACTAATTAGTTCACATCTACCCTTCTACAATATAAAGATAGCTTAGTTGAGCTTGTATAGAGAGCACAAGTTTTTTGAAAAAGATATTTTTCACAACATATTCCAAGTAATCCAGTTTTGAAGTCAACAAAACTGCAATATTGTGATGTGATCCAAGAAGCACAAGTAACAAAGTCAAGTCCAGAGTCGAGCCCAAGGAAAGATCCGTTGATAGTCGAGGGGCCAATGAATCTCAGTCTCAAAGATGCCAAGTGACATGGCTCCAAAGACTGGTGTGGTTTCAGTCTTTATTATTGATTCCGTCCTCGATGATCTCATGGATCTAACAAATAACAAGTCTAACTCGATTGTTGTTGTGAATGATCAAATTGCAACGCTCCACGAGGAGCTAATGTTATTGGGATCATCCATCACGGCTATAGTATTGCAGCACGAAGCAGAACATGAAGAACTTGTGATACGGAGCAGAGACATAGCATATGAAGTTGAATATGTTATCAACTCATTACCTCATGTTTGGTATCTTTCTCTCCGGCTCCCTCAACTCATTGACAAGATTCGGCTTATTATGATAGCTGTCAAAAAAATGAAGAACAATGTTGATGTAGTTAGAATGTTAGTTGTCTCAAAACATCCACATGAGCTGGTAGAGTCAGAGTCAAAAGAACCTCCCATTTTGGAAGAAATTGTTGTGGGATTTGACAATGTAACAATTAAAATTACAGAACAACTTGTTGGAGGAACAGGCCAGCTGCAAATTATTTCCATCTTTGGGATGCCTAGACTTGGTAAGACGACCTTGGCAAATAAATTATATAATCATCCCTCCGTTTTACAGCATTTTGACAAGCGTGCCTGGTGTGTTGTTTCTCAAATGTATAATAAGGAAAATGTTTTGATTGAAATTTTGAGCTTAATGAGTAACAGTAAGAGGGACACATACATGAATATGGAGGAAATAAGCTTGGCTAAAAATCTTTACCAAAGCATAATAGGAAGCCGATACCTCATTGTGATAGATGATATATGGGATATCAATGTGTGGATTGATTTGAAAAGATATTTTCCAGATGACGGAAATGGAAGCAGAATCTTATTCACTACTCGAAATAAAGAAGTGGGTTTGAAAGCTTTACCTCGTAATGTCATAAAGGAACTTCCTTTTCTGTCGGAAGTTGAATGTTGGGAAATATTACAAGAAAAAGTGTTCCAAGATAAAAAAATGTCCTCAAGAATTCCTAGACATTGGCAAGCAAATTGCAAAAAGCTGCCAGGGCCTACCACTTGCAGTGGTCGTGATAGCTGGAGTTCTTGCAAACATGGAGAAGAAAGAACTCTTGTGGGAAAAAGTTGCAAGAAACTTAAGTTCACATATATCCGAAATACCAGAGAAGCACATCCAAATATTGCAGCTTAGCTACAACCATTTACCAATGCATTTGAAACCATGTTTTCTTTACTTTGGAGAATTCGAGGAAGACAAGGAGATCCCTGTAAGGAAGTTGATATCTCTCTGGGTTGCCGAAGGTTTTATAAAGAAGGAAGAAAAGAAGAACATAGAGGACGTGGCACGAGACTATCTAATGAAACTGATTGATAGGAGCCTAGTACTTGTTGCTGAAAGAAGATATGATGGAGGAGTCAAAACATGCAAGATTCATGATCTATTTCGTGAAATGTGCTTGAAAATAGCTGAAGAAAATAACTCCTTGAAGTTAATCTCAGAGTAAGTTCAATGTTTCTCTTCTTTCTCCTTTCCTTTCCATCCATTTTTTATTTTAGCTTACTTAGAAGGTTATTATATTTGATAATCGTAACAATGATGTGATTATGTTGTTTTTGTTGCCAGTAGTGATGATGATGATGAAGATAAACAACAGTTCTTCAGTCAAGTATCAACGTATCAGCAGCACCATTGTTTGAGTATCAACTACATGGACTATCCTAGTGGCCTACACGTACGCTCTCTTCTATATGATTTTGTTTTTGAGAGCACAGTCACATTAATCTCATGCAGCTACAAAGTTCTTAGGGTCTTTGATTTTAAGAACAGGTCAACAATCCTAGATCTAGTGATAGGATTTGAAAATATGGTTCACTTAAGGTACTTGGCAATTTCATATAAATGGCAACCATTGGATTTGGAAAGGTTCCACAAACTAGAATTTCTTGTTGTGGACAATGTTGATAAAGTTGAAATACCTGAGATCCTTCTTAATATGGTGAGTTTGAGACACATGGAGTTCAAGGGCGGTGCATACTTCGGTGAATCTAGTCGTCAACTAGCAACTAATAGTAAGAGCTTCCAAATAAATATCCTACAAAGTATTTCTGTACTCTCAATTTACCATGAAATGGATGAGAAAATTTTGAGATGTTTACCCAATCTTCGTAGACTGAAAATCAATGTTGAAAATTCACCAAATCATTCGTTCGATTTCCTTAATCAGCTTGAATCGTTGAATCTATTTTTTTATTCTACCAATTTGATCGGTTTGCCCTTAAATTTGAAAAAATTGAGACTGCAATTTGGAGATGTGTGAAAAGGCTATAGTTCGACCCAAATAATACCTAGAGGGGGGGTGAATAGGTGTTTATGCGAAATTTAACAATTTAATTAACTTATGCAACATGTCACATAAGTACGCTTTGTCCAGATTCATTCACATAATTTAGCTACCTAAGTTGAATTGCCGCGTTGAAATCAAAACAACAGAAAACAGTAGAAACGCAACAAAATGTTGATGGAGAAAACTCAACTGGGTAAAAACTCTGGGCACAAGCCAATAGAGATCCACTATAGAAGATATTGACTTACAGTACGCCAGACATAATTGAATCTAACAATACTTTGACCTCCTTACTGTATCAACCAAAATTCTCCTGGATTTTGCAGATCTGCGCCAAAATCCCAGCCCTGAATTTCTTCTATCTCCCGTGAATCACCAAGCACTCCAGTTCTTCAAGCAGTTTCCTTCCCGGATCTTCAAACAGATGATCTTTTGGAAGTTGATATGGAGATTTGAATGGTGTTTTGGTTTTGTGAAGGTTGATGTTTTTCTCTAATAGAGCAAAAGATGAAAAGAAAGAATTTTTTGGCTCTAAATCCTTTGGTTGTTGAGAGAAATTTTTATTTGTGTGTTTTCCCAAGGTTATAAATGAAAAACGGAATTTTTGTTTATATAGTAGGTCGTTTTTGGTAGTATGGAGCATTTAAAATTCGCGAGGAAGGAAAATTACCAAAAGCTAGATAGCACTGTCGCTCGAGCGAAGTGCTGGCGAAACTCGAGCGACGCACCTTCGCTCGAGCTACCCCTCAGCGAAACTCTAGCGACAACAGTTCTGTTATTTAGGCTCGAGCGAGGTCAGGGTGAAACTCTAGCGAGATCAACGCGTCGTTTGCATCTTCAAAGCATCCAACTTTACCCTAGACATATGCTATAAACTTTGCAAAATTGCAACACAAGTCCCTGAACTTTTTGGACCTTTACAATGTAGTCCTTGACTTTACAAACTTGACAAATTGGTCCTTTGGTCACAGATTGCCAATGACAACATTTTTCTAACAATGTGTCTCGAAAACAAATGGAGATTTGGAAGATTGCCTTACCTTGAGGTTCTCAAACTAGAATCAGTTGTCTTTGAGGGAAACAATGGAACACAAGTGAAGGTAAATTCCCACAACTTAAATACTTGAAACTTGTATGTGTAAACATTGCAGAATGGAATGCCTCAGTGATAATTTCCCGAGGCTTCAACTAATAGTATTGAATTTTTGCCGGAATCTAAAGATGATCCCTTCCTGTTTAGGTGATATTCCAATGTTACAGAAGATTCAGGTATATAGGTGTGGACAAACTATCAATGAATCAGCTAAGAAAATTGAGGAAGAACAAAAAGAGATGGGCAATGAAGAGCTTGAAGTCATTATCTCTGAATAGGAAATTGACATCGAGAAACTTCCAAAGGTAATAATGAGAGAGATTCTCTTCTTTAACTCTCTTTCATGTTCTCATCTTGGTCCGAGGTATTAAACATCAAAAACATCAAAAATTAATTCTACTGTAATTTTGCCTTCTATTGAAATTAAGCTCATGTTTGGTTTGGATTAAAATCAGATTTTTAATAGATTTTCATAAAGATCAATAAAATGTGATTGAAAAATTAATAAAAGTTGCGGGTCTCATAGAATATGTGGTTGAAAATGAGTTAAAGGGAAAAATGAGTTTTAAAAATTGGGGACCAAATAGGCTAAGTTGGCTCAATTTTATGAGCTTCTTGATGTTATTCTAGGAATTACTAATCCATAAGGTTCTATGTTTGGACATCGATCTCTATTATTTCTGCCTTTCACAGATTTTACCATAAAATCGTGTTTAAATAAAACCCCCAATGATCACAATTTCACTTCTAGTTTGATTCAGTCCTCGAAATAATTTCATTGTTTAGTCCAAGTCCTCAATGAATTGCATGGGAGGTCCTTCCACTTCTAAACTTGTTATCTTGGTCCTTGATTCTAGATTCCATCCTTCTTGATCAAATATTGGCCCTTTTTATTGTTTCCTGTTCAATACTGGTTTTTCTCCTAAAATAATCATCAAATACGCAAAATTAAATATATGCTCATCAATGTATTTCCAAACATCCTCTTTTGATGGCTTGGATAAGTATAAAATCATACTTATCAACTGTCATCGATATGCAATTTCAGGAGACGGGTGATCTTTTTTTATTTTTCCAAGGCAAATAGTGATTTACTCATTTGTATTGCATGTTTGTGTTTGCACAATTCGCTAAAGGACAAGTGAATTCAATTGTGTGAGTAATATGCCAAATATTTTAAACCAGTAGAGATCTTTGCATTGATGATCATATTTAGACATATATTATTGATATGCACACTCAAGAGATTTTATTAGGGTTTGAAGACCTTAATGATCTTGCATAAAAGTTTGTTCTGACTTAAAAAGGTGAACCCATTACTTTACAGACTTTTAACATTGGTGTTAATTATTTCAGATGCTAGGGTTGGTACGTTCTTGGCAAACAAGATGATCAAAAATCGATTGCATAGTTGGAAGCAAGATCAACGGTTGAATGACATTTTGGTGGCGTATATTAGAACGATGTATTTGATGATATTGATAATGATATAATTATACAATGTTTTCAAAATATGAAAATGTGTAGGCTACAATTATAGTGATATATTGACTTGTTTTTAGTAATACGTTGTTTTAGAAAAATTGTATTTTAATTTTTAATCAAACAATGAAAAATGTGTGGCTTCACAATCATATTAGGCTTGATAAAACCAATTATCTTCGGTGGGAAAACCAAATTCTGAATGTCACCATGGCTAGTGGATTAGAAGGTTTTATCGATGGTACATCTACTTTTCCATCAAAGTTTGTTGTACAACTGCTCATTGGGTCGAAATTTTTATTAACATTGCAGTATTATGACTTCAAGCTTTTCATTTCCCATCTCTTCTTGTTTTTCCTGAATTTGCTTATCAGATTCTTAAATTGCTTGCTCAGACCCTCTACCAGAGAAGTTTCCCAATCAAGAATTTGCTCATAAGATTGTTGGTTAAGGGATTCCTTTAAATAAAATAGAAGAAAGACAGTAAATTTTCAGAGAAGTTTCCCAATCAAGAATTTGCTCATAAGATTGTTGGTTAAGGGATTCCTTCAAATAAAATAGAAGAAAGACGATAAATTTCCAGAGAAGTTTCCCAATCAAGAATTTGCTCATAAGATTGTTGGTTAAGGGATTCCTTTAAATAAAATAGAAGAAAGACAGTAAATTTTCAGAGAAGTTTCCCAATCAAGAATTTGCTCATAAGATTGTTGGTTAAGGGATTCCTTCAAATAAAATAGAAGAAAGATGGTAAATTTTCATGTATATCAAATTAAAACAGCAATCTCTACATATAGATGTTAGTACGCCTTTCCAAGGCGTTACAATATTTCTAGAACCAGCCTAGTTGATACGAAACAAATACAAAAAGAAAATTTTATTATTCGAAAATCTTCCACCCTGTCTATCCCCAAAGTTCAGAACAGGAGGGGGTGTTTCTCCTTTTTCAGTATTATTATGTAATTGACTCTTCGTGTAAAGAGTTGATTGAATTGATTGACTCAGACGGATAATAATATACATGGGGGCGCCAACAATAAATGATTATGTAATTATACTTGCTAATGCAAAATAAGTATAACTTCATTGACATAAACGATAGGCATCATTTTTTACTGCTATGCCATCGATTTCCAAGTGACAAACTAGACTAAGAGCATTTAAACATCTGAATTCTTGAACACACCATTCTTTCAAAAGATTTTCAATGTGTCAAATTTGAATAAGGGTCCTTACTATTCATCAAATTAAACTACTGGCTCTATCACATTTATCGACCTTTAGTTCATTCTTTTGGACGTACTCCATAAGGGTTATCTAACATATTAGGCCAATATTGTAGATTACATACTTGTCCATGTAAATTGATTTATCAAATGATCTTGTAATTGTCCACCCTCAACTCCTCCAGTAATTTGTCTTGAATGTCCTATATTTTAAAAGCGTTAAAGCGTCCCTTATGGTATCCAGGTTCGAACAAGTAGCCATGGACGTGTCTTCGATTTGACATTGAAGTACTAAGAAATGAAATTAAATTGCTTACAAACTAATTAGCTCACGTCTACTCTTCTACAATATAAAGATAGCTTACTTGAGCTTGGTATTTTTCGCAACATATTCCAACTAATCCAATTTTGAAGTCAGTAAAACTGTAAAATTGTCTATCAACTCAAGTACATACTTTCTTTGACTAAATGTATGCTTTAGGAAATCCGTAAAAATAAATTGTCACGAGTCGCGTTATCTAATCATACCAAACTTGCCACGATGAAATCAAAACTTATCGCGACCAAACTATTGTTATACGCAACATCATGCACATAAGATCATAAATTTTATGCACAAATCTTTCAGAAGTCTACAGCTTCGATTTTCAAACCATAACTGGAGAAAGCATGATCCACGTCTGGAAAACATATTAAGCGCTTTCAAAATTGCTTTGAGTAAACCTATCAAATGAAATAACATGCAATCTAATAAATGTTTTCTTGATATGATCTGGAATCTGAGATGTTAACCATGACAACCGAGACAAAAAAAAAAAAAATAATAATAATAATAACTATTGTTTCAAAAAGCCCGTGTCGCAAGATTGAAGTACTCCTGACCTCCTAGCTAGACAGAGGTTCAGGATTCGTCTTCGTCTTCATCTTTGTCCTCGTCTTCAACTTCAACTTCATCTTCAAAATCTACATTATCGACCTTTGCAACAGGAGATGCTCACCAAAACTTGTTCAACTGTTTTAGAATCTGAAGTCCTACGTCAGCGACAGCGTTGGCCATTGACCAGATCACTATTCTTTTCAGCTTAGGCGATTTTTCTAGTAAAAGCTTAGTGACTGCCATCTCAGCAACTGTGCCTGAAATAAAATGCAGCTTCACTTTTTGAAGTCGATTTGAA